CCCCAGCCTCCTGCCCATGGGGGCCCCCAGTCACCTCCGTGGGCCTCAGGTCCCGCTGGAAACTGGGCAAAAATCCTCGGCCCTCCCGTCATTTCAGGTAGACCTTGTTTTTTTTTTGGAGGGAATGCTGATTTTGGTTCCATTTTCTGGGGAACTTGAAATAAACAAACGTTGATTTCTTCATGGAAAACGTCTGTGGTACAGGTCTGTGGATCACTCAGCAGGGTCTTCTCCTGCCTTCGGAACTCAGCAGGCTTAGGGTCACTTCTGCAGACGGGGCCGAAGGGATCACTCAGCAGGGCCTTCTCCCGCCATTAGAATTCACCAGGCTTAGGGTCACTTCTGCACCCGGGATGAAGGGATCACTCAGCAGGGCCTTCTCCTGTCATCGGAACTCACCGGGCTTAGGGTCACTTTGCAGCCCGGGCTGATGGCCTCGGTGGGAACGCCCACTTCCTGGAGCCCCGTCTTACTCGATGGCGAACGCACATGTGCTGCCCACAATCCCAGACAGCCCGGAACGCAAGGAGATGGAGGGTGTCCCCTGGCTGTGTGCCACAGGCTGCCACCCTCTGCCCCGGGGAGGTGTACGGACGCAGGGGCAGGGCAGTGAGACCCACGAGAACCTGCCCTGGGACTTTCGCGGGGACTCTTGGTAAAGACGCGCTCTCCTCACCCCGGGGCTGTCCAGCTGCTGACGAACAAGCTTTCGGCCTCCAAGGCCACGGAGGCTGCAGCAGAGAGGATCTCTCGGAGGAGAAAGGAGGGTGGGGATGAAAACCGGCAGGGAGACTCTGGAAACACATCTCAGCCAGGGGCGCTGCCACACCTGGCACTGCCAGCCCCGCCTGCACTTCCCAGTCACGGTCCCCTTGCTCTGGGAGCCCCTGGGATGGGCTCTGCATCCTGTTGACTAACAAGGCATCTCACTCTGTACCCCAACCACAAAAGGGCCTGCCGTGGCACCTGCCACACCCTCTGAACCCAGCAGAGCAGGTCAGCAGTGCCCCAGGGGATTTCATGAAGTCGGGGGGCTGGGAAAGAGTGTGGGGTGCACACAGGACCCTTGTGGATCCCGGGGGAGCTGGGGAAGAATGTGGGGTACATGAAGGATCCTTGTGGATTCCAGGGGCCTGTGGAAGAGTATGGGGTGCACACAGAACCCTTGTGGATTCTAGGGGGCTGGGGAAGAGTGTGAGATGCACACAGGACTCTTGTGGATCCCAGGGGTCTGGAGAGGAGTGTGGGGGGCACACAGGACCCTCATGGATCCCAGGCCTGTACTGGCGAGCTCATGTCCCCAGACGAACTCCCCAAGCCTTCCAAGTTCCTCTGGAGCTGAGTCAATATTTAACCCATCTTTCCATTTGTTTTCCATTAGAACGCGCATCTGAAACCCTTCATTAGCCTGTCCTTCCAGAGAATAATGACTAATTTCTGGCGGTAGTTTTTCCTTATCCCACAAAGGCACTGTGTAGAACCCTTCTATTATTGTAATTTACTGATGGAAGAGAAGAAATTGTAGAGATGATTTCCAAGTCCTGGAAAGACCGCCACTGAGAGAAGCAAGCCATGCTTTGTGTGGACTCCATCTCTCCCCGCCCTTGCCCGGGGTGACCGAGGTGGACTTGACAGCATCACCGCCAGCTCCGTCCTGGCCTTCGCACAAAGACAGCTTATTCTGGGACCAGAAACAGACTCCCGATCCCCCAGGGGCTCTGAGAGTCCGTGGACATTTCACTCAACACAGTCCTGGAAAAGCTCAGGAGTGGTGGGAAGAAGGGCTGACATGGACTTCTGAGGCCACGGCTCCACAATTTGCTCAGTTATCTTAATGAGCAAAGCCAGTTGTGCTTTTGGAAAGACTTTCGCTATTGATTTTTTTAAAAGTAAGACATGGGAGGTTTGATTTGTGATAGAAAGGCCAGGAAAATCCAGGCGCCTTTAAATAGCATCCTGGGTCTCCAGGAGAGAGGCCAGTGGTGTCTGTGTGAGGAGCGTGCCTGGCCTGCTGCCCACTCCTCCACATCCGCACCCTCGCGAGGGGCTCCCATGTCCTCATC